CATTTTCAAATGTTGATGCCTAACGTTTGGCCCCAGGTGAGGTTTTTTTCAAAGGCACAGATGGGACTTTCTCTTGTAAATGGGCAGCTCGCTGCTTTCTTGTTGAAAATCTTCCCCTTCAGAGGTCTAATTCTGGCCACAGTTCCTGCCCCAAGGAGTTGAGCATCCACATCCACTTCCTGTGGACAGGTTTGGTGTGAGAAGAAATGAGTGTCTATGTGCGTGGGGCAAAGGTGGAAAGGGGCTGGCACGTACAGCTAATGGAAGCAGGGCCAAGGGCTGCTTTGTCTTTATACCCAAGAGCCCTTTGCATAAGTCCGAGCCAGACAGCTGAGGAGACCAGAAAACACGTGGAAGAGGCAGACAGAGCTGGATTTGCTGTGGGAAGTTGGAGAACCCAAGCAGGCTAAAGGATAATTAGTTATTGACACGCTGAGAGCGGTAGTTTGCTGGGGAACACAGCGGAATAATTCGCTACGAGGTAGAAATCAGGAGGAGAAGGTAGCGAATCGAAAGAGGAAGCGGGTGGGTTCTCCAGGCAGAGGGTGGAAGAAGCAGCCAAGGACACGTGAAAATAACCTGGCAATGAGACTGCAAAGGCGAAAGGCTCCGTGCTGACCCCTCCTACCTCCAGCCTGCGGAGGAGTGGTCTTGAGTGACCTTGAGGGGAGGAGAGAAAGAGAATTCAAGAGGAGCCAGGAAATTTCTCAGCTTCCGAAAGGTTAAATGAGCCGCAGGGGCTGCACAGGGCTTAAAAGCCCAGCATCCCTGTTCAATTGCACTCTAATGGGACAGCTCTAAAAGGAGAAAACTTAAGAACCAGCAGAACAAGTGGCTGCTTGGGGCTCCTGCAGGTGGGTGTGGCCCGCATTTAGTGGGGCCAGCACAGATGGGAAGCAGCACTGAAGCTGAAGAGGGGGTTTCTGAACAGCGCCCGGGGCCTCCAGGCACCCCCATCACCAAGGGGCCTCTATGTTCCCTACAGGTTTCTGCTGACCCCACTCCTCCAGCCAAGTCAGTTCTTGCTGCTCTCCAGCCTGCTGACAGGGACCAGCCATTGTTGGTTGCCTCTCTTGGGAGCAGGAAGCCTTCCAGCGCCTCTTGCAGATGGCTGAGTCCCTCACCTCCTTTCCCACCTCCATTAAAAGAGCTGCTCCTCTCTGCCTGGGGTTCGGCCCTTCACTCCATGCCCCCTTCTCTGCGCCTTCCCTCATGAAAAAACCCTACTGGCTCCTGGGTCTGCTGCTCGTCTTTCCCCCTTCTGTCAAAGAGGCAGCAGGACCAGGGCTTCTCGGCTTCCACCTGCCCCCTACGCTCACACCTTCATCCCTAGACTCACCTCTACCCCTGCTTAGTCGCTATGGGGACGGGGGGGGGTGTCCCAATCCCAGGCCTTGTCCGGACAGAGAAAGAGGTGCTTTTAAAATAGGGTGAACTAACACAGCTCAAAACGCTAGAGTAGACAGGGCAAGTGGTATTTTCCCACATGTTAGCCGGCTGACGTGAACTCTTGGAACGGGCTAAGATTGGCCACAACCAGCTAACACATTTTAAAGGCGTTAGAACCTATCTACATTAGTGGCTAATGAGTTTTTAAATAGCACTTAACTAAAATGTATTAGCCAACATGATTTAAAAAAAAAACCCACCTTTGTCCTAGTCTGGATAAGGCCGCAGCGGGGAAGGAAGAGAAGAGCCAGTATGGCTGCACTGGGGTCTTAGAAAACTTGTTAAAGATCTTAAAACAAAGGGAATAAAACACTAAGGAAAAGGATTCATTCCAGGGGGCAAGTAAAGGGGGGGAGAGAGAAAGGGTGACAGCAAGGATGTGTAAGGTCAAGTCACAGAGACCGAGACCTGGGCATCACTGCAAAGAGCGCTGTGGACAATAATACTGAAAAGCTGATCATGCCATTTGTAAGTCATTGGGACATCCCTGACTGAAAGACTGTGTTCTGTTCTGGTTACGCCCGCTGCCGATAGTGACAGCAGAAATAGCAGGGACTAGAAATGGGTGATACCAATGATAGGAGGCCTTGCTGTCTAAGCAAAGACTGAAAAGTTTAGGATACAACAAATAAGGGGGCGTTTGACAGTTATATAAAGTAACAAAGGGCAACGTAGTCACCCAAGCTAAGGGAATATTCTGTATACAATTGTGATGGGGTGTCCACCCTACACAAGGCCTGGAGGGGTGAAGGTGGCTAAGTGGGCCAATTAACTGCCCAGGCTGCTCTTGGAGAAGAGGGATTTAATTAGAAGATGCTCAACTGGGCAGAAACAGGTGGGGAGCTATATAAGCCAGGAAGCTGGCAATAGAGTGCTGCAGGGAAGGTGTCTGCAGTTGCTCCTTTGGAGAAGGGAGGTGTATCTGAGGCTAGAGGCAAATAGTCTACAGTTACACCCCGAGAAGAGGGAGTTGGGAGGCTGACAAACTCGAGGGGGAGATGGGAAGGTAGGAAAAGGCTCAGGGGAAAAGAAGCAAGGTGGGAGAGTGCAGGCCTTGGCTGCCGCCTGGAGGACCCCTGAGCTGGGACCCAGAATAGAGGGTGGGCCTGGGTTCCCCTACCAGCCACTGGAAGAGTGGCCTGGTCAGAGCAGTAAAGGGAAGACTGCCATTGTGTATGGAGGGACTTTGATACCCCCGATACCGAAGGGGGAACCATGGAGTGACCTGGCTGGAGGGCCGAGTCATGAAGAGGGCGCTGCAGGCCCTGGAGCGAGAGGACGACAGCAGGGACACCACCGGAGGAGGGCGCTATGCCTGGCCAGAGCTAACCCCCAGGACAGCCAGGAGGTGCCACTAGCTATGAGTGCACCCTGGGACAACACCACCACAGTTCGCTAGGGAACTCTCTGCCACAAAATAGTACTGAGTCCAAGCGTTTATCAGGGTTCCAGAATGGATTTGACACTTAAGGATAATGAGATTAACACTGGCTACATCAAACAGGATAAATAATATGTAAGATATAAACTCGCCTGCTTCAGGACATAAAGTATGATGGACTGATAGGATTTAGGAGGAAATTTTCCTCAGGAGCAGGTTATTTCAAAACTGTCCATTATAGGATTCCAGCAACTTTCTCTGAAGCCTCTGGGCAGTGGGTACTGACCGAGACAGAATGTGAGACTACGTGGGCCCCAGGGCTGAAGTGGTGTGGGAATGCCTTTGTTCCTAAAAGGGGACAATAAAGCAAGACGCTGAGAAGGCAGGTTTAGCGCTGCCACTGCATGACAAGCAGAATAAATAATAGATGACAAGGCACTGTCAGAAATCTCATTCAATAGCTACTTTGCCTCAGTTTCCCCTGGGTAGGATGACAGCAGCAGGATGACTTCTGCAAAACAACTAAAGAAGAAGGGAATGCTGGAGGATTCTCTGCATCTTGAGGTCTTTAAACCACGATTTGAGGATTTCAATAACTCAGACATAGGCTAAGGGTTTGTTACAGGAGTGGGTGGGTGAGATTCTGTGGCCTGCATTGTGCAGAAGGTCAGACTAGACGATCATAATGGTCCCTTCTGACCTTAAAGTCTATGAGTGTTCATGAGGCTGGATCAGGCAGAAGCAAGTTAAAGAGACCAAGATGACTAGATCTGTATTCCAAACAGGATGATCTGATAACATTCACCCTGGGATGCTAAAGGAATAAGCAATTATACTTGAGATCTTTTGGAGATCACAGGGCTTGTTCTGGTCTCACTTACATTGATGTAAATCAGGAGTAACTCCATTGGAACAATGGAGTTGCACCAGCATCATTCCAGTGTAAGTGAGGTCAAAACTGGTCCCTGGGGAACTGGGAAAGACTGAACCTAGCCCACGTGTTTAAGAACTGAAAAAGGGAGACCCGGGTCTTTACAGAACAGGGAGTTTAACGTCAACACCTAGCAACTGACTGCAATTAAACACAGGAGTCAGACTATACATTCCAAGGATACTTGCTGGGCTAGTGCTCCAAAAATAGCTGTGTAGACAGTGCTTGGACTGGAAGTCGAGGAGCCCAAGTTTCAGTCCAAGCTGCAGCGGCGAAGCAGCGTCTACACAGCAGTTTTTAGTCTGCTAGCCCCGCAAGCTGGAGTCTGTCGACCTGGGCTGGGAGGCTCGCCCCTGTGAGCTGTGTACCCCAGGAGCTCCGTGCTTATGGCTGAGGGCGTGGATAAAGGTGAAGCTATATGACTCTGACTGTGCAGGTAAGGATCTGAATGGGAGCCCGTGGATGTGGTTGAAGCTATGTGGGTGCAGATGACACTGTGGGTGGAAAGCGAACCTGGTTGGGGGGCTGCAGAGGGGGCAAGCAGTTGTGTGAGGGCGGCACCATAGGGTGTCTGGGAGAGTGTGGCTGGGGGGGCGGGAGGTTGGTGCAAGTGATTCAGGGTGTTGGTGAGGGCATGCTTGGATGTGAGTGGAGAGTGGGTGAGGGGTAGGCTAGTAGGGTGCGTATTGTGGGTGAAGTCGGGAGCATGGGGTGCAGTGAAAGGCTGTGACATTGTTTATAGGGGGAGCAGACGTGTCGCAGGGTGGGTAACTTTACCATGCGGCCAGGATGACTAGTTTGCCTTGTTTTTGCAGGCGGTCCCTCCCTACCAGAAGAAAGTGCCGGTAAGTTCCATTCTACTCGCCCCATGTCCCTGCAGCCAGCAGGGCTCGTGGAGAGATGCAGCTGTCGGTGCTAGAGCATATGCTTGCTTCGGACTCTGCAGACCAGGGCAAGTCAGTGCTTCCTCGGGGATCCCGTGTTCTCCTTGTGTTTCCATAGGGTTTTTAAACTCTGCAGAGCCCACGCACGCAGGCTGCCACTGGTGCGTCAGAACCACCGGCTGTGTGAACAGAGGGCGTTGTTGGGAACATAATGGTTCAGTGATGCTGGATTCTTCAAAGGGTGAGGGAGGCAATGACTCAGCTGACTAGATTTGCATTTAGCCACGGAGCCTCCTGGTCATCCCGGTCTCCTCTCGGGCAAGTGCAGCCTCAGCAGAAATCAGTTCCTTCCACGTTAAGAGCCTTTTCCAGTTAACCAAGACATGTCTCCAGTTCTAAGGCAAAGACAAAAGCAGGACAACAGGATTAGCCAGATCTGCTCACCTAGTGTTTCTGAGTTTGCCTTCTGCGCGGGTCAGTATTGCTAGCTATCATGCTGCTCCAGTTTCTCTGCAGCAAACACCCTCTCTTCACTGCGTTGCCTGCAACCCTGCTGGAGGAGCTGGGGCAGAATATTGACCTGATATAGCCAAATACAGAGAGGGGAGCATGTCCAGGCTTTGTGTCATTAAAGTCTTCTCTATATCCCAAGCTGCACTGGTTTAAATAAAGGTGTGATTTAAAAAAAAGTGATTTAGTTAAACCAGTACAAAACCCTGTGTAGAGGCTCTTAATTCAATGTAAATTTGGGTTAGGTTGTTTTAGCTGAAATTGTTAAAAACCAGGTTTAAGCTGAATTCCGAATGGCCACACTGGGTTTTGCACTGGTTAAACGGAATCAGTTGTTGAACCAAGTTCCAGGTGAACCAGTGCAACCATGAATATAGGCCAGGCCCATGGGTCCAGCGGGGCAGAGGCCCAGATGCGTGCATGTGCACAAGTTGAGGAATGAGCACTATTGTGGATACACGTTAACAAATCCAGCCCCGTGTGTCCAAACTCCCTTTCCACAGAAACAACAGATTTATCAGCTGCTCTATGCAGAGGGGACAAACCACAGTCAAACCACTTCATTCCAGTCAAAGGAGTCTTTTCCATGTGAGGGGCTGCTCCATTTAGGCAACTAAACAGAGTAAATGACATTTCTGCAGGAATTAGGAACATCTCCCAGACCAGGGCTTCAGCTGTTGACGTTAACTTAAAATCTGTCACTTTAACCCTTGGTTGCTAACATGCGGCAAGTTCAAGATACAAAAGGAAACATACTTGCCATGACGAACGAACAGCCTTAAATACGTGTACGCAGCAGGAAAACAAGGAGAGAATGTTCGGTTAGTATTGTGTCCTGTTCCTGATGCATGGCAGGGCCAAGAGTCCTTTCCCACCCCCACCCCCAGGAGGGGCAGAGAACAGGCTGGCTCCTGACGGGTCGGGCAAAAAGCAGCCTCGGCACTCTAAGGCCAGAGCAGTGAGACTGCTTTCTATGCTCTGCAGGCAAGGAGGGCGAAATGCCAGACTCCCCCTGTGGGAAGGGTCACTGCTGACCAAGATGTGGCACATCGCAGGCCCCAGAACCTCACTCACCCACTCCTGAAATAGACCCTTAACCTCTGGCTGAGGCACTGAAATCCTCACATCACGGTTTAAAGACTTCAGGTTCCAGAGAATTCTCCATTTACACTAGTTTAAACCTGCCAGTAACGTTTACCTTTCATGACATTTTTCACATCTGGTGACTGAAGGAATGTAAAAATAAGTTGGGCGCTTTTGAGGACAAAGAAAGTGCGGGAGCGGGGGAAATACATTTTGGCCATTATAAAATTGCAACTTAATCGAAGTTCGTCAGAGGGACAGTCTGGAGTGATCTGATGCATATCCATTTCAACTTGGCTGAGTTAAAGGATTTATATACGCTGTTGGATTTTCATTCAGTGGAAATCAATCTCCCAATATTTTCTTGGCATCACCTATGTAAGTTGAGTGGAAATTAGGTCTGCCTTCAGAATGCGCCCCCTTCTCCTAGGGGTACGTGCTATGCCACATTCCATTCTTGGTCCATATGCTGTTATATACAGGCTCCCTCCTCCGTCACTGTGGTTTGGTCAGTGCACAGGCAGGGATCCTGCAGAACTGGGCCTGCATGGCTAGTTCCCTGTAAACGTGCGGGACTCACCCCTGCAGCACCTCCTGCTGGTCGTCTCAGGGAATTAGCTTTTTCCAGCACTGAGCGTTCTCTGCAGGCCAGTGTCCTGCTGCCCCCCCGTGTCTCTCCTGGACCCCGGTGCCCCTTGTCTTTGGGGTGCTGCCCCCTGGCAATACCCCCACAGTCTCACAGTCTCCCCACCCTGGGGAACTCCCCCAACCTTCTATCCCCACCTTGCCTCAGTCATGGGCTACTGCCAGTCACCATCTAGCCCCCGCTCACTGGGGCAGACTGCAGTGTAAAAGCCACTCATCATAGGCAAGGTGAGTTTGGACCAGCTGCCTTCCTCTGCCTCCTAGTACCTCTATGGGCCTTGGACCAGGCCCTGCAGCCTGGGGAGTTGCCAGACTGGAGCTCCCCTGCTCCTCTGGCTCTCCCCAGCCCTGCCTCACTTCCAGTACCCCTCCTGCAGGCAGCCAGGCCCTGCTCTCTCCCAGCCTGGAGAGAGACTTCTGGGCCTCTGGCTCACAGCCTTTTTATTCAGGCCAGCTGTGGCCTGATTGGGGCGTGGCTGCAGCTGTTTCCCCAATCAGCCAAGGCTCCCTCTCGCAGTCTCAGCCTTCTCCCAGGGCTGATTTCAAGCCCTTCAGGGCAGGAGCAGGAGACCACCCCACTACATTCCCCTTGAGGCGATCCATGTGTAAATGTGATGGATGATGAATAGTGACTAAGGGAGGGAGAAAGGGATAGTGAGTGGTGGAGGGTTAATGAGTGTAGTGGGACTAGAGGAGCGAGTGTGTTTAGGAAGTACAGCTGACAGTAGCAAACAGCAGATGGATATTTATGGGTTGTCACTTGTCATTCACCTGAACTGATATAGGATGAACCACTGCTTCTAGCCCAGGCGGTGTTTCTGCTCTAGCACCTGCCAGCTGATGGATCACTTGCCCATCTGGTTTTGATTTTACTTGGCCCGATTTATGTCACAATTGTCTTTAGCAGCGTCTACTTACTCCACATCTCGTTTTCTGATCGCTCTCCCAGAGGCCATGACCTCAGCGACTTTGGACACAATCGGGTCATAGTTCATACTAGCCACAGCAATCACCTCCTCGTTCCTACAACAAAGATCAGAGGTGTGAAGGAGACACTGCGGGTAATGAAGTGAATGGCTTTAGATGGACACTTTTTTCCTTCACGAAAGGGTAAACTCCTTGATGGAACCACCAGGGACTATGAACCTATAATCTCTTCCCAGCTTCAGGAGCCCCCGTTAGCCCATGTGCTTGTTACCTCAGAGAGCAGCACCCGGTGAGGAGAGCGGCCGGTGAGCAGCATGTGGGCAGGCACTGGTGGGGAGTGGATGGAGCCCTGGCTCCATGCCTGGTCCCAGCTTTGCTCATGGGACAGCACAGCGACACACTGCCCCTAGTCAGGGCAGTACGGTCTGACCCTGTGGTGCTCTGATGTGGCTTTAAGTACTAAAATAACCCAAAACATTTTTTTGAGGTGGAAAAATAATGTCCAGCTGCCTCTGGAGGAGGAGGGCAGAACCTAGACAACATGATAGATGTTGTACTAGAGATGTGATGCCTTCTAGTGTGCAGAGAAACCACAGTGCTGCGGGTGGTGGAAAATTAGGTGAATGTGATTCTAGCCTTTTATTTCCTCTGCCGGTATGTTGAAAAGTGCCTGGAAACAAAGTGAAATGGTTCATTGCACGTTGAACAAAATGTCTGTCAACTTTTTCAAATCACCACATTTTTTCAGAGTTTTTGGATTAGGTCTGGTTGAGCTGAAATTTTAAAAAAGCTTTTTTGGAAATGCCAGCAAGCTGAGAAATCATTTATTCCCCCAGCTCTAATGAGGACCACACCTAATAACGTACAATGGTTTTTCACTGCTAAAAAGAGTCGGGAATGTCATACAGACAAAGAGGCATGCAGTCTGTGCAGAGCACTTGAGCCTAAATCAAAATGAACCTGTACAGCATTCAAGTAACTATTATGCTTCTGACAAGAATACGTGTTCACAATTTCTCTGAAACCTGCAAAGAGATTCATGTGTAGAACAACATGAAAAGCAATGCAATCCCTCACAGAGTAAAGTAAGAAATATTCCAATAAGAGGGTCCTTCTGTATCAAAGCGCAGGGATGGAGTGATGATAAAGTACTTAAACTCATTGATTCAACAGAGTGGTAGCTCTAATAGGGATAGAAGAAAAATGTTGGATTAATATGTTCTACCCTGAAAGAATTAGATACTTTTGAAAATCCCCATCGTCAATCTATTTAGCTCATTGAAGAGAAGCATAAGAGGCGACAAGTACCTAGATTAAGGATTCTGACAGCAAACAGCTCTTTAATCTAGCGTAGTCAGAACAAAGGTCCAATGGCTGGAAGCTGAAGATCGATAAATTCATACTAGAAATATGGCACACATTTTTACCAGTGAGGGTAATTAACCTTTGGAAGAATTTATCAAGGGATCTGGTTAATTCTCCAGTTCTTTGCAAGTGTCCCACAGGAAATCGGACATTGAATGGGTTGATGGATAAGCTTGAGGAGACAGTTGTTGATGCTATTGAGCGGAACAACATTCTGTTCTGAGATCTCAAATACACCAATGGCCTTGTCTTGTTGGCTCAGTTGGGTGAATTGAAGTAAGAAGTAGCGTGTACGGGTCTGATTATTAATCTGGATAAAATTCAGTCCTGGCCCTTGCTATCAAGCATTCTCCAACTCCAGATTTCAAGCAGCTCGCTATTAACAGTCCAGACTGGACATTGAGCAGGTGGCAACTGGCAAATACTTGACGTGTCACAGACAGTGCTGGAGGTTGCTCAAGAGACGTGGGCACTTGTATAGCAGCAGCTGCTGCCATGTTTCAGACCCTTCATCAGCCTCTGTTGCAATGCTACAAAGCTGCGGCTCTGTAGAGCCACGGTTCTACCCACTCTGTTGTACGCCAGTGAAATGTGCATGCCAAGGAAGGCTAACGAGCATTTGATTGATGTTTTCAGTTCTTATCGTCTACATCAGTTTCTCCTTATTAAGAGGCAGGACAAGATCAGAAATGAGGATATTTGAAGCTGACCTCAGCAACGGCTTCCGCCAGCAATGGTTTGGTTTTGGTGACTTTCTTGGCACAGACGTGTTATTAGGATAGAAGACCAAAAAATCACGAAGCGTGTTTACCCAGGAATGCCGCTACACAGCTAGTGGTCATGTGGTCACCTGAAGCTTTGGTGCTGCAATAAGATTGCCAGTGATGGGCATAAACTGAACAGCCAGCCAGCCTGCAAGACCTAGCTGGAAATAAATCCAGGTGGTGCTTGTTCTGCAAGGAGGCCATGTCCCTTTGGGATTTGCCATGATGATGGGAAACGGGGGTGGGGCTCCAGGAAGCCAGTTATGCCTACTGGATTCTCAAGGTGCATCTGCCCTGGCCCTGGCACAACAGTGCAAAGTTTCGGGGCTGCTGTAACTTTCACCAAGTGAAACATTCACCAAGGTCCTTATGGGACCTTGTACCAGTTATGAATTGGCCTGGTGAAGTAATCTCCATCCTTACCCCTCTCACTCCCAACACCCCTCCAGCCCCCATCAGAATGTTAATGGTCGTTGGTCTAGGAGCCAGCGATGACACTTTATGCCAGGTGAGAGCTCCCCACCACTCGAGAATTTCTTAGGCAGCTAGCTGAGGCCAGAGTCTGGAGGTGGCAACAAAATGGTTTGAAATGAGGAGAGAATCTGGGTCTTTAAACCAAGCTTGGATGCCATTACGAAAGATATACCCTACCTCAGCCACTAGTTACTGGGCAGGATGCAGGAATCACAGGGTGAAATTATCTGGCCTGTGTTAAGCAAGCGGGCAGACCAGTTGATCAGAATGGTCCTTTCTGGATTTAACATCCCTGAGCCAGATTCTTAACAGGTGTAAATGGGCACAGCTCCAGTGAAGTCATACTTCAGTAACCAGACTGTCTCTCTCCCCCCACCTCAACAGCATGTTTGCAGCAATCACTTTTAAAAACTATGTTGAAAAATAATTTTTTTTTAACACAGTGGAAACTAGTGTAGACAGGGCTTAGAAGAGCAGCAATAGAAGCCCGGTTGATCTGCATTCGACACCGACACCGCTCCCATAACTCCAGGTGTCACAGCAATGACACCCAGATCTGGGTTGTACACAGTCTGGGGTGAAAACCAATAATCCTCAAGCAACTAACCCAAACACTAGCAGGCTATTACCCTGCCTGCTGGGAACGCCAGATAAGTTACAAACTAGATTGCAAACAATTCATTCTGGGAGACTATCTCACTACAGAGAAATGCAGTCTCTTATCTAAATATCAGATCAATGTACAAAACTAGAAATAGATACTGACAAGTATAAAACTTCTGCAATGTCACGGGCACCTAATTAGGTAGCTTAGACGAAAGGTGAGAATGAAAAATGACAATTTCCACTTCACTGTTCAAAGACAAGGAAATAAGAGGGAGACTCTATCAATCAGCTAGGGTAAAAGATTTGCTATTCTGAAGCAAGGAATAAACAATGTATATATTTGGGAGAAAGAAAAGAGATGGCACAAACACTTTCCAAATAGGTAGCCTATCGACTTAGGGTTACCAGATAGCAACTGTGAAAAAACAGGACAGTGGGTGGGGGTAACAGGCGCCTATATAAGAAAAAGTCCCCAAAAATGGGATTGTCCCTTTAAAAACGGGACATCTGCTCACCCTACCTATCGTTGACTGAGAATTGGGCATGATTGAGACGATGACAGAACCATTATCAATGGAGAAATCCTCTTATAGACTCATACACTGGAATTATTTATTTTGGAAACATTTCTAGGTCTTGTAATGTCAACAAAGTTATGGACAACTGGGTCCTTTTATGGTGTCTCAAATAGGACATCCTTAATACGTGTCACTTTTGAAAATCTTGGCCACAGGAGAAACTATAAGAAATGCCTCTTAAAGTCAACTGGGGCACCATTTCTGACACTGTGGGGTGGAAGAATTAGGAATCAAGGCCCACAGACAGAAGGCATGAAATCCGTATGGATCTCCACCACCTTTGCAGCATCATTCCTCCCTTTCCGACAGGAGCCCTTCAGTGGGGTTGGGGAATCTGTATGTGAGGATGGGGTTGGCTGGAATGGAAGGGTATGAGGTTGGGGAAACAGGGATGACAACTGTGGAGGAGTGGAGTATCAGAGGGGTAGCCGTGTTAGTCTGGATCTGTAAAAACTGTGGAGGAGAGGTTCTGGGGAAAGGCAACAGTAATGATCCTCCATGGGAGCTCCTTGACCTTGGGGATCAGTAAGCTCTGCAGGAAAATGTAGGTCAATTTTGAGGTTGGGAGGCAACCCTGGTGTCCCAGAACAATAATCAAGAGATTCCGCCGGGTGAACTGTATGGAGGGCCCTTTCTCCTATGTTTCCTCTCCTGGGCTGATCTAGCACCAAGATATTTGGTGATAAGAAACCAATCTCCTTTGTGAGAAGAGCACTTCAACCTTTGCTCTAGCAGCACCAACCAGGGGGGCTGGAACGATTTGTATAGTGGGGGTGCGGAGAGCCATTGAACCAAACTATAAACCCTGTATGTAATGGAAACCACTTCAAGTCAGGGGGTGCTGCAGCACCTCTACTCCAGCACCTATGGCACCAACAGGGGCTTTGCTTGTGCTGTTGCCCTGTAACCCTGGGGTAACAGGCAGGTTTGGTGGGTTGTTGTTGTTGTTGTTTTTACCAATTTCTTCTTCAATCTCTGAAAAATAACGTTAGTTTAACTGTGGAACTGAGCCGTGAGAGCAGGCCCTGGAATGTAAGCCACCCGCATTTCATTGCAATGAATGAGAGAGGGGAGATCAAAGGGCAAATAGGCAGCGAGGTCCAGTCTCTCCAGCTTTGACTAGCGGTGGAAGTCAGAGGAGAGTCAATTTATGACAGTGGCCTCCCTCCCAGCATCAGCACTGCACCAGACAGAGTTGCCACCAAAGGTTAGAAAGAAGAGACTTTTTCAAGCACCTAGAAATAACTCCCAGGGCCTGAGAGGCAAAGACTGTCCTTGATTCCAAGTAATAGGATATAAAGAGATAAAGAGAAGGTGACACTAATGTCCCAGGCTTAGAAGAACCCCAGACTGATTAATCAGTGCAGCCCCCCACTAGCTAGAGCTGTTCAAAGATACCTCAAGGACTTTATGCAGGTGGTCATCCTATTATAGAAAAGCCAGTTCCTGTGGGCTTTCCTAAGTCACAGAATAACACACATACTTTTAGCAGCAGACTCCCACTTTCGATCTGGTTTGTTTAAGGCTTATTTACAACCCGTAATATTTATGTTAAGGTTGGCCAGCAGGCTGTGTTCAAGCAGCTCTCCTTTCCCTGACATTTCACTGCTCGGAAACCTTTGAAACTTCCTTGCTTTACTAAGTGTTGAACACAAAGTGACGAATCAATTACCATAATAATATGCTGTCATTATTCATATTAGCTATCCATAGCTTTTCATCTTCACAGTACTTTACAGATGTTTAATTAAAGAGATTTGACATTTCCTTCCTAATTAGGGATGGAATAAATACCAAAATATGCCAAATATTTTCCTGTGGTATTGAAGAGGAGGAATATAATGAGGCTTCAACAAAAGTCCCATTTTGAGCTTCAATATGTGAAGGAATCATGTCATCATACAACTTTTATTGAGCACTCCGGAATCGTGCATTCAGTTCTGACCACTTCACGGGCAGAGAGACTGGAGACTGTTCCGAGAAGAACAACAATGATCCTGGGGTTGGAGGAAGTGGTTAACGGACTTATTTGGAAAGACTGAAGGAGCTATATGTGTGTAGGTCAGTTAAGCAGCAGCTAAGGGGGAACATAAGCCTGTCCATATCCGAAGTAGAGTTGGTAAGAAATGTTTTGATGGAAGAGTTTTCTGTTGGAAAATGTAATTTCATTGAAATAAAAATGGGTTTTGGGGAATGTCTCAATTTCAACAAAGTTTTTGATGAGAAAAGTCTAAACAAATCGTTTAGGTTTTCTCATTTCATTTATGTGTCAAACTGTTTCATTTTGATAATGTAAAAATGTTGCTTTCCAACTTTATCATTTCAATTCATTTTGTTTGAACCATTATAACAAAACGTTAATGTTAATATCACATGTTTCTATAGTGTATTTAATATATATAATTGTGAAGGGGCCACGCACTCACTCTGCGGGGGGGCGGGGGGGGAGAACCAGCGAGTTCTTCTGGGCTCATTCAGCACCTGCAAGGCTTGCTCTGCCTGGAGGGGGGAGCTTAAAAAGGGGAAACTTGCCACAGGATGGGGTGGTGAACAGGACGAAGACTGATACACCTCAGAGACTGCTGACAACCGAGACAGATCAGCCAAGAGGGAGACAGTTGCAGGCCTCACTGCTCCTGAAACTGCACGGACCAGTTGTAAAGCAGGATGCTGCAAGAGGAGGGGCTGGAGGTAGACCCTAATTAAAGACAAAGACCAGTTGATAAGCCAACCCCCAAAAGGGTTGTGTAGCGGGGTGGTCACCCCGCTCCTGCCCTGAGGGGGTTAAAGCAGCCCTGGAGAGGGCTGTGGCAGAGAAAAGCCAGGCTGATTGGGGGAAGCAGCCACAGCTGGGGCCACGCCCCAATCAGGCCACAGCTGGCCCTACAAGAGGGCTGAGGGCCAGAGGCTAAGAAGAGTCTCTCTCTAGGGCTAAAGAGAGAAGGACCCGGCTGCCTGGGAGCTGAGCAGGGTATCTGAGGTGGAGCAGTGCTGGGGAAGGGCAGAGGGAGCTCCACCCTAGTCAAACCCCAGGCTGCAGGCCTTGCTAAAAGGCCAAAAAGGTACTAGGGCTGCAGAGGGGCAGCCCAGAGATAGGCAAAGGCAGCAGGTCCTAGCCCCCCCTTGCCGATGATGAGTAGTTTTCAGTCTGCCCCAGTGAGTGGGGGCTAGATGGGGACTGGCAATAGCCACTGAGGCGAGGCGGGGATAGCGGGTTAGCGGGTGGGGAGACACAGATTGTGGGTTACTGCTGGGGGCAGAACCATGGTGTAAAGGGCACCAGGGTCCGGGAGGGACACAGGGGCCAGCGGCAGGCGAGACACCGGCCGGCAGAGGGCGCTCTGGACTGGAAGAGCTAATTCCCAGGATGATCAGCAGGAGGCGCCGCACGGGTGAGTCGTCACTCCGCTACAGGCTGACTCCAGAAAGATTGCCCAAGAGAGGGTCCATTTTTGCCTTGAAATTCTTTCACTCTATTCCCTGCTCTTGTAAGGGAAAGAGAGAGAAAAGGAGCTTTCTTTTGTTTGTTTTTCTAGGAGAACCCCTCCGCTGGGGGAGGGCATTAGAAACACCTTGACATTTAAATGAGATGGGAATCAAAATGATAAAGTTGGAAAGAATTTTTTTTTCACATTTTCAAAATGAAACCATTTGAAGTGGGGTCTGGGGACATGTGCTGGGGGCTGCTCTCGGCTCCCCCACCCCAGGCAGATGGCGGGTCCGTGGCTCCCAGCCTGCTCCGGCTTCCGGCTTGGCCAGGGGTGGGGCCTTGGGTGAAAGATGTGGGGCGGGGGCACTGAAGGGGTGGGGGCCCCTGACCCCCCCACTTTTGGGAAGGCTCCGCCACCCCTGCAGTGCAGCCCCTAACATTTATGTGTCCTGCCACCTAATGCAATTCACAACTCTGAGTTAGGTGCCCCTTACAGAAATCACGGGGAGATTTAAGTGTCTAAGAATGGGTTTCACACAAAAGCCAGCATGGGGAGCAGGGTGCTGCCTAAGCTAGCCAATAGGAAAGGCTGAGGAGGGGTGTGTGACCCACACCCTCAAACGGATTTAGCCCCTTAAGTCTGAGCTGGAGGTACGTGAATGGGGCACCTATGCCTGGTGGAAAGCAGGGGTGATGGTTCCCCACTTATAATCTTTAGCCCAGGAAGTGGGAGACCTGGGTTCATATCCCCCTGCTGCCTGATGTGGAGGAGGAAATTAAGGTCCCCCACCTCTCAGAAGAGTGCCTTAAATGTATAAATAATCAGCTCTCCACTGGAGCAGGGGGACTGAACCCTGGGCCTCTGACAACAGTGCCCTAATAGAGTCCTGCTGCCCCCAATCAATAGTTAAGTATTTATGGACAGTGGAACAATGTCCACTGGAGAGACTCAGCAAGCCTTGCTCTTGGCTACCCTATAGCCCAGTGGTCAGAGAGGTAGGAGACAAGTTCAAATCTCTGCTCCACATGAGGCAGAGGGGGGATTTGAACCCAGCTCTCCCACATCCTGGGGCTGTGCTCTAACCATTGAACATACGGGGGCACCTCCTTCTCCACTGTCCTGTGTAGGGGTTTAGGCATGCTCTCGGCATGCCTACTGCATCAGGCGTTGGAGGCAAGATCGGTGAGAAATGCCTAGTTGCAAATCCCACTGCGGCTGAGGTGTGAGGTAGGTGTTGACCTGCTGGGAGATGTCAGGAGCGAGGTGACTCAGTGAAGGCCCAGCTGCTGAAATCGAGGTGCCTTGGGGACTTTAAAGGTGGGAACTTGGTGCCTACAGGTTTAGACAGCAGCTGAGTGGTGGTTTTGTGAATGCCAGTGGCATCTAAATGTTGGATGGCGGTGCCTAAAGTGAGTTAGGCACTTAAGTCACTCTTAAGAATCTCACCCATTTCACCTACTCCACCCCTCTCTGAGGTCTACGTTGTGTTGGGCATGTCTAGAGAACATTCATTGTGCAGAACAAACTGAACCTAATGCCCTCATGCAGCATTGGTCTCAAAACTCCTCTGATTTCAAATACAACAAGGAGTCTGGTGGCACCTTAAAGACTAACAGATTTATTTGGGCATAGGCTTTTGTGGGTAAAAACCTCACTTCTTCAGATGCATAGAGTGAAAGTTACAGATGCAGGCATTATATACTGACACATGGAGAGCAGGGAGTTACTTCGCAAGTGGAGAACCAGTGTTGACAGGGCCAATTCAATCAGGGTGGATGTAGTCCACTCCCAATAATAGATGAGGAGGTGTTAATTTCAGGAGAGAAAAAGCTGCTTCTGTAATGAGCCAGCCACTCCCAGTCCCTATTCAAGCCCAGATTAATGGTGTTAAATTTGCAAATTAATTTTAGTTCTGCTGTTTCTCTTTTAAGTCTGTTTCTGAAGTTTTTTTGTTCAATGATAGTGACTTTTAAATCTGTAATAGAATGACCAGGGAGATTGAAGTGTTCACTTACTGGCTTTTGTATGTTACCATTCCTGATGTCCGATTTGTGTCCATTTATTTTTTTGCGGAGGGACTGTCTGGTTTGGCCAATGTACATGGCAGAGGGGCATTGCTGGCACATGATGGCATATATAACATTAGTAAATGTGCAGGTGAATGAGCCCTTGATGGTGTGGCTGATGTGGTTGGGTCCCCTGATGGTGTCGCCAGAGTAGATATGGGGACAGAGTAGGCAACGAGGTTTGCTACAGGGATTGGTTCCTGGGTTGGTGTTTCTGTGGTGTGGTGTGTGTGATCTGATTTCAGATGTGTCATTTTATTAATGCACAGCAACCTGGATCCTTGGAGGGGGAAAAACTGATGGCTAGTGACTATAGCAGAAATAGAGTAAAAGGAAATATTTCAATAACTGAGCAGTCAGATTAATGTCCATGTTGGAAAGTCTCAAAGGGAAGAGAAACACTTACTTGGTGTAAAATGCCACAAACTTCAGTTCATCTAAATCGCCTTGAAAGACGACATCATCAAATCCTTCCCCGTGGCCTGAAAAACAGGGGAAATGTCAAAGCGGTGCAGGAAGCAGGGTGCTGCTCCCTTTGCCCTTCCTCCCCTATGGTTCCACATTACGCAATCTCATGTGCACACAGATACTCACACAGGCACATACGTAGACAACACATGCCATATGGCGGTGGTCTGTCTTACAGCCACAACCTCTTTTTGGATGACAGTCTACAAACCAGACACACCCTCACTATGTGCTGGGATTGGCGTGATAGTCGTAAAATCCCAGCATTCTTTGCTCAGCCATCTCCTAAATGATTCAATCATAGTGCTATGGGAAGCCACAGTCTGCCACAGTCTGCCCACTAACGTCATTAAGAAATTAAGTGTATAAGTGTCACTTTAGGTGCCTAAATCCCAGAATCTGGCCCCACTGGGATTCACAAAACCACTGCTCAGCTGCCACCGAACCCTGTAGGTTCCTAAAATTGCTCAGTACCCATGTTTCTGCCTCTGGGCATGGGCACTGCAGCTCCATGCCAGGTGTCCAGGGAGAAGGAAGAAGACCTCCCCCATAAACTTTAGCCCACTGGTGAGGGTACTCAGCGTGGCTATAGGAGACCCTCAGTTCAAGTCACCCCCTATGCCTGGGTGGGGGCAAGGATTTGAACAGGGATCTGCCACCTCTCAGGTGAGTGCCTATCACTGTGGTATGAGATAGTCGGATGTGGGGAGCTCCCTCAGTGTCTCCTGTTGAAGCTGTTGCACTGAGGACAAACAAGGAAAGAGTCACTGGGACAAAGGGAGTGTGTGCTTTTTGGATAAGGTCCTTGCCAAATTCCAGAGAGCGCTCCCAAGCCCCTGTTTGTTCTCAGAGTGACATTGGCCAAATGCGAGGGCTCTGGTTCCTGACTGGCTACATTTTGCTGGGTTGGGGAAAACTGGCTGTTCTGAAAACTCACCAGAACAGAATGGGAGGGTAGAGTGACTTGGTGTGTTAATATTTTGAGTGAACGTGGTGATGACGACGCTTTAGTGATCCATGTGTAATGTTTGCTTAAGACACGTTTTGCTTTATTTTATTCATCGTTTGGTGTATATATTACAATTTTATAATACTTCTAAATCATTTCTAATGTAATTTTATGTGAATTAAGATGTTTTTCATTTCTCTCTCTCTCTGTCTCCCTGGACCAGTGATTGGTTCATTAATTATCCACAGAGGCAGCTAGTCCCGCCTGCCTCTTGCGCTGCTGAGGCTACATGTCTATTTTTAGCACACTAACGCTCGTCAAGCTAGTGCAGGTATGTTTAGCTGGAAATGCCACCTTCCAGCACCAGCAGAGATGTACCCTGACTGATACAGGAGGCACTGGAGGTTCAGAATAAGGTTGTGGGCATAAGGACCTCAGAGGGATAAGCCAACAATCTCAGGTGACTGGAGAGAGAGGGCATAGCTGAGAGAGAACATGGCAAAGGAACTGTGACTTCCTGATCTGAGAGCCAGTTCTGTTCTAGCCTCGGTGTACTTCACAGAGGCCTTGGGGCTCCTCTAACCTGTACTGGCTGACTCTGGCTCCAACTGGCCAGTACATGAGCTGAGAATGGCCCGAGCAAAGTAGCACATTGGTCCCCTAAGATAGAGGCTGCAGGGGGTGGTAAAGGAGCCATATCCTAGCTTTAGCTCTGCTGGGGATTGCTTCACAGTGGGGGAAATTGAGTGGCTTTCTAGCCCCTTTGCTGGGGCTAAATGGGATGAAGAAGAGACTCAGACCCAGAAGTGATGTCCAGATTAGCACAGTGGTTATCTTCCCTATTTGGACGTGCTCAGAACTCTCACCAGTAGAATCTACTGCCAACCAAGTGAACAGGCAAATTTACCTTCACGTGTTGTTCAGATGCTTTAGAATGGGCCTGCCCAGTACTGTGTGTGCAGGTCTTAAACCTACAAATGATGTGGTAACAGGCTGGCATTTTGAATTCATGCACAATTTGGGTCGCAGGAAAACTTCACATTATAAATAAGTTTTCCATGATGAAGAAAAAAGAAAACAAATCTCCTGTATCCTCTGACCTGGGACCACAGAGACTGAAAAGCCTCAGTCATCACGATCATGTGATATGATTATTTTAACTTGTTTGGAATTCTTTTAAATTAAACCTTCACTCTGAATGTTGTGGCTTTATAATGCTTCTTTTTGACAACACCGCCATCATGTATTTCACTCAGAATACGCACTCTTGGCTTTAACTCCCTGTTCCCATAGTTTTTTGTCTGGGAATTCTCTCAGAACTCCTCATGTTCACACATCAGCAATGCCAGCCAGAGGCGCCGACTCAGTGTGTGTGCCGGGGCTGGAGCACCCACGGGAAAAAAACAGTGGGTGCTCAGCACCCACCAACCACAGCTGTTCAGCAGCCCGCCAATCAGCTGTTCAGTGGCTGGCGGGAGGCACTGGTTGGGGGGAAAGAGGCTGAGGAGGGGAGGGAAGAGACAGGGTGAGGGCAGGGCATTGGGGGAAGGGGTGAAGTGAGGGCGGGACCTTGGGATGGAGCGGGGGTGAAGCACCCACCGGGAAAAATAAAACTCAGCGTCTGTGATACCAGTCATCACAGTCCAGCTACCTCACCCCTCAACTTGGTCACCCTCATTGGGTCCAGGTGCCATGTCCAGTTCAGGCACTGCCCCCCGAAAGAGTTTCAGGCATTGCCCCTCCCCCCAGTCAGATTCAGCTGCCACCCATCACCCCTAGTCAGGTTTAGGTATTGCCCCTCCGCCTCAGTCAGGGACAGGCATCTCCTCCCCCCTGAAGGTCAAGCCCTGCCCCACCCTAGTCAGGTTCAGTACTGTGCCCTCAGAGCCATCTCCCATTTGTAAATCTTGGGGCGCTAGGGGCCCCTCCTGTTCCCACAGTAGCACATGTGGCATTTTTTCCTAAAGTGCAGACATCAGTCGCTGGTGAGACCCCTCCAGGTTGGAGGAGGGAGCTGGGTGTTATCCCCCCAAGATTTATGTACGGCTCCCGTCCAGTTCAAGCGGCTGCCTGGCTCGTCCGGCTCGCATTAGTATGTCTGACCTGCATAGCGTAGGCTCTTCCCAAACACAGCCGTCCACAGGTACGGGACCGTGCTGATCTCCGTGCCATGGGCCAGCATGTTCAGAGCTGCTATGCGGCCTGGGAAACCGAAGAAACAGAGTGTAAGAAAGGAAATCATGCGGGAGTCTTGACACACACGCTGTGCCTGGGCAGGCCCAGAGTGCTCGGATTGCGCCCAGGACTTTGGGATGGTTTAAAGCCTTTTGCTACCAATTGCTCTAATCACAGTTTAAGTGGAGCCTAAGACCTTTCACCTTAGATTAAAAAACGCCCATCAGACAACCAAGCAGAGGGACGACAGCAGAAGTTTCATGAACCACAATGCTAGCAAGGTCATGGTGAAGCCCCTCAGTTACCTGCCTTTAAAGGAAGGTTGTGTGGCTCTCGTTCATCTATAGACCCTTAATCTGCACCCTCCCACCCCCGAGAAGACTGGCTACCAGTAAGGATAAGATTATGTCACGGAGATCATGGATTCCGTGACTTTACGAGACCTCCTGCTTCAACCCCAGGGCAGCAGGGCCAGAGCTCTCAGCTTCCTCAGGGAGACCTGGAGCCACTGCGGATGGTGGGACCCCAGAGCTCGGAGCCGCTGGGGCTGTGGCAGAGGGATCTCGAGCTGTCGGCAGCGGCAGGTGCTGGACTTCCCCCTCCCTCTTGCAACAGACCTCAGGCTCTCTTCCCTCTCCTCCCCAGCCCCGCTTGGGCATCAGTCAGCTCCCCGTCAACACCGCCCACCCCCATTATTTTTAGTAAAAGTCACAGACAGGTCACAGGCTTCCATGCATTTTTGTTTCTTGTCCGCGACCTGTCCGTGACTTTTACTAAAAATAACCGTGACAAAATCTTAACCTTAGCTACCAGTCTCACCCCCGCCCCTTTCAGTGTTCCCCCCCAATGACAGGGCAGAATGGCGCCTGGCACCTTTCACAGATATCGAAAAATGAACAAGGAGAGAGGGGAAGAGGAGGGACAGTGGATAAAACACTTCTCAAGAGCAGAGATCTTTATGGGGCAAAGTATCAGTGCCCCCCCAAAATCTGTACTGGCACCATGGTGATTCAGGGCTTCATAGACTGAGAATGGCGTTGCTGTAGGTAAAGAAGAGCATGTTTTCAGTGCCGATGCTTCTTTATGTCATGTAATGATATTAAAATCCTCGAAGCATGTTTAGAACGATGCTAACCAGAGTATTGCGTTCAAAAGGAAGGGTAACCTGGGTGATAGAACTCTAAAAACTGACCACTGGGACACCTGGCTGGCAGACTGGCAGTGCCACAGTGGGACGCGTGAGACTGGGGGGGTGGGGGAAAAGGCTGATGCAAAAAGGAGAAAGGGGCTAGTGTGCAAGCCGGGGGATGACTGAGTCCTTCAACTTGCCTGGGGGATTTTTCCTTTTTTCTGGGTAAACTGTTGGACACTGAGAGAAGCCAAATGCCTAAGGCCAGCAGGTTAAGGACAATAAAGGTATTTTTAAATACATCAGGAAGAAGAGGAATTCTAGCAATGGTCTAGGCCACATCTGATTATGTTCAATATGGGCAAAGAGAAGACAGTCGCAGCCAGAACAACCTAGACTTGGTGCTTGAAAATCACTCATTTCCCAACACTGGGAACAATTATGAGCCAAACTGAATAAGAGGAAAAATTGAGATAGAAAAATGTGAATGAAAAATAGGAGTTTATTAGAGGGCCAAAAAGCCAGGACTCCACACACAGGCTAGATGACTACTTGGGCTAAAAACCCACCCTGGTTCAGTGGTGAAGTGAAGGCAGCATTAGAACTAAAACAGAAACATAAAACTAATGGAAGAAAAGGGAAATCGAAGGAAATCAGTATCAGTTAGAGGCTATGAAGTGTAGAACATTGATAAGGGAAGTGTCACAGGGCGGCTGACCCCTTTAAATGAAGCAGGCCCAGTGCCCCTGTGCCAGTTTGGCCATTTAAGAGGGTGAGGCAGTGCCTAGGGCTGTAAACGAGCCAGGCAGCAGGGCCCTAGTGGGGAGACAGATCTGGTGAATTGGGGTTACCAGCTTCATTCGGAAGAAGGCAGGTGAGAGCTACCGGCAACCAAGAGACTACAGGAGGTCCTCGTAGGAAGCAGAAGGTATTTCCTGGGAGAAGGCTGAAGGCAGGGGCGATGCAAGCGGGTTTTGTTGGCTGATCTCCCTGAGCCAGGGCTGGAGAGGGCGGAAGGCAGGAAGAGGAGCGGCAGCAGCAGAGAGAGGTGCCTGCTGGCTCTAAGCCAGAAAGCCGAAGGTGGAAGAGGGCTGGAGGCAGGGGAGCAGCAGAAGGGCTTGCAGCTGACATGCTGGAGAGCTGGACCCAGGGAACAGCGAGAGGGCTGGGGGAGTGAACCATCTCCCGGCAAAGGGGCTGTGGGGTTCCCGTTGGGAAGAGCAGGGTGACACTCCGTCTGGAAGGGCTAGGGTGACTATCCTGGCAGAGGGCTTGAAGAGGACTGACAAGGAGCTGAGATGTAGTGGAAGACACTGCAGTATGAGGATGCAGTCCCAGCAGAGAGCCTTGCGGGGTGAGGTTCGTGCTGGAAAGAGAGGGTTTTAAGGATTACATGCACTGCAGTGATATGGACTGTGTTGGGGACTTTCGATTATGGACTGATTTGCACTATGTTTTGATAATAAACTGGCCCCACGGAGGGGTATTATTGAGGCAAGAAAGCGGATATGTAGTTACTGGGGACTCTGAAGGAAGGAAACTGAGGCAGGCGTGCCGGCTGTCCAGCATGGAGATGTCAGCAGGAGGAACATATATCACAGATTGACTGGCCCCTTTAAATGAAGTAGGCCCAGCTCCCCTGTGTCTGTACAGGTGCTCCTAGTTTGGCCAACGGAAGGCGGGGCAGCACCTGGAGTTATAAAAGGATCAGGGGGAAGAGAACCTGGTGAGTCAGGGCTGCCAGACTCACTCAGTAAAAAAATAGTTGAGAGGTACTAGAGACCAGAGGCCTGGAGGAAGCAGAAGGTGGCTCCTGGGCAAAGGCAGGAGAGCAGCAAGAGGGGTTTGCAGTCTGGCTTCCCCGAGCCAGGGTCGGAGGGGCTGAAGAAAGGGAGGCAGCGGAGGGGCTAATCTGCCGACATGTCCACACTGGAGAGTTGGACACTGACACTGGGACAGTGAGCAGGCCGGGGCAGTGAGGGATGCTGTCTGATTTGCACTGTGTTTGGCTAAAAAACTGGCCCCAAGGAGGGTTATTATTGAGGCAAGAAAGGTTGTGTGAAGTTACTGGGGACTCTTAAGGAAGGAAACTGAGGCAGGTGTGCCTGCCATGCCACAGCCTGCTGCAGGAGGGTGCTCCAGGAAGGATTGTGCTATGGCAGGAAGTTAAAGGCATCACGGAAAAATCCCTGGCTTGCACAGCTAAGGACTAGGGCTGTATTTGGGGGCCTAAAGAGAAAGGTGGGCACCTAGTCGGATTTACAAGCACGGCAATGGGAGTTAGGGACTCGACTAGGTTACATGCTTTATTAAGTCCCACTAGGCACCTATCTGCATCAGTAGGTGCCTAAATATCTTTAAATCTGAAAAACCCCCGTTGGGTAAGGACCACTGGCCAATCTAAGACAAACAACCCATGACGGAATAATGAGGGATAATATTGAACAGTCAAGTGAATGGTGAATAATAAATCCCCATTCCCCTGCTACCTATTCCCAACTGCCTCTCTATCTAGCCAGGTCTGGCTGGCTGACTTCCTGCGCATCTTCAAGACAGGCCTGTCCCTAAGTAGTTCAGGAGCCCTAATGTGAAGGGACTGAAATACACCCACCATGCATATGTGCCATCTGCCAGTGAGGGATGTTCACCTTCTTGTTGTTACGCAAGGCCAGTGGAAAGGTGACAGCATCACCAGCTGCAAAAACTCCTGGGATGTTGGTCTGCATCATCTGAAAGGAAGCAAGGGGCTGTTAGCACTGTAGTAGGGAGAGGGCCTGAAACATAAGCCCATGTATCAAGGCCTGGTAGGAGGCCTGAGGCCTGGGCTAAAGTAGTCAAAACTTTGCTGATATAAAGCAAAGTTAAATAGTGAGCAAGAGGCAGGCCAGTCTAGCGGGGAATGGAAAGTCCCACCATACACTGAGCTGCGGCCATTGTCACGGGCACACACGTGCTAGTAGAATTGTAGACATTGATCTGGAGAGCTAGGACTACGCTTCGTCGATGATAAACCTGGCCTGGTGCCTTCGCACCTTAACGGATTTTGTGGTCATTGGGCGGTTCGCTCGAGGTCTGCTGTGCCAGCTGTCTGCGCAGAGCTGGGGCAGCGCACAGAGGGAACACACGCAGCCGAACATCTAACCACAAGCACCACTGGTGATTACGCCGCAATCGGTGTTACAAGTGCAGGGTCAGCAGCAGCACTGCTTCACCATGATTACAACACTTAGCCAAATCAGGCAAAAATAATCCAAGCGCTAGAGGAGAAGGGAAGGGATGAGAGAGAGAAAAGAAGTTGCTTCCCCATCTACACCCAATGCATTACTCCCACTTCTCCTTTGCCAGCTGTACCCACATAGGGCTCACTGGATGAAAGGATAGCAGGGCCCGGGCATCTGGAACCCAGCCTCCCCCACAATCTCTAGTGTCAGCACTACAAGATGTCTTGCAAAACCATACCATGCCATAGAAACAGTCCTAATATCAGTACCTTCCCAGAGACAGTCAACCTGTCCTGTTCCACTGTTCCTGCTGATGGTGAACTTTTATACATAAAGATGTATTTTTACACTCACATGGGTCATTAACTAGGTGTGACCCCCCAACCTTCATCTTCACAGCACAGACCTTTTTCACCTCACCTACAGGACAATGGGCGGTGGTTCTTGGGGGGGAAGGGGAGTGTATAAACCATGCTACTGCTCTCTGTGTGGACCATGTAGGGAGCCACAATCACACATTGTTACTAGGTTACACAGTATTTGAGAGAGCAGCAGGACACTAAGCATCAAGATTCTAGGTGTGTCTTCCTGTTTATGCGAGCATCGTTCAGACAGACATGCTTCTGTGAGGGTTGTCTGTGATGACAGAACCCAGAACCTCCAGCTGTAGAAGCACAATCCCCTGACACTTGAGTTAAAGAACCACATCATGTAGCACACAATGAGCAGTACAGTCATAAACCTTGATCGGTGGTATAACTTCAAGAGGGTGACCGCTGCAGAGTCATACTGTCAGTGTGGGTTACACACGCATCTGATTTGGCAAGCCGCTTCTTGAAGACTGTGTGGCAAAGTGGATGAGAGTTGGCTTGGTCATACGAGAGACAGAGACCCAGGTCCTCAAAGGTATTTCCCATTGAAGTGGATGGGAGTTAGGGGTCTAAATACCTTAGAGGATCTGGGTCCTATCCTGGCTCTGTGAAATGGGTGCATTAGAGTCAGCCTCCAAGGCTACAGTAACACAGTGCGGGTTCTGCACGGCACAGGAACATTAATAGCACTTAGCGTAAGTTCTGTGAGTAGACCTCTTGGTTACCGGGTGTGTCGTTTAGTGCAACTGTGGATACACTCCAGGAATTTGTGGGAAGGGGTGGGAGCGCTCTCTCTATTTTTTTCTCATTTTGCTTCCTCAGAATCATTTGATGTCTGAAGCTTTTCACATCCTCATGGGACAGTCCACAGCAGGGGCCAAAATCGCATGCTCTCGCGCGATTTTATTGTGAGTCAATATTCATACGAATCTGTTAATCTTAAAAAGCAACAGAGAGTCCTGTGGCACCTTAAAGACTAACAGATGTATTGGAGCATAAGCTTTCGTGGGTGAATGCCCACTTCGTCTTAAAGGTGCCACAGGACTCTCTGTTGCTTTTTACAGATCCAGACTAACACGGCTACCCCTCTGATACTTGTTAATCTTAAACTACTCACTTTGAGGCTACCGATAGCTCAAAAATCCCTTGGCTAAATGACCCCATATTTATCCCACATAGTCTAACCATGCCCTTAGTGAGCCACAGCAATTTTCAAGATACAATACTCTAAAATACACATGCGTAGGAAGATGACTTTGAAAATTTGGCTCTAAATAGCAACTGCACTACAACCTTAATTCTGGATTTGCTCCCACTCCTCCGCTATATGGCTGACTCCACACCTACCATCACAGCCTGCGTAGGGCCTTGCAACTGTCAGTGCTTTGACAGTGTTTACCTTGTTGACGACAATGAAGCCTTTGGAATCAATGTTAATGCCGCTTTGCTTCAGAAATCCTGTTGCTGGACTTGCACCTGCCGGAAAGGCAAAGGACATTGTGTGAGTGAGTCTGACTCCCAGACACTGTCTCTCTCATGAAAACAGATGTCAGAGCGAGAAAGGACCTGCTACCTCCAGCAATCACTCTCCTGCCAATGTCAGTTCAGTTCCATGATACCAGGTGCTGCTCAGTTAGCAGCTTCTGTTGGGTCTCACGAATGCAGCTGTGCTGGGTGCCACAGTGGGCAGCGAATGAATGATTGACAGGGGGCTTCAGAGCCTTGTTGGCCAAGTTCAGTGGATGGGGAGGATTTGGCAGAAACTAAAGTAACAGTGGAAATGCACAGACCTAGGGATAAACTGATTAGAATACGTACAACATGTGCAGCTGCATTTGGAAACCAGGTAACTCTGTTATCAGATGGCACGCGGAGAGTGCTCCTTCTCTCCCTGTTTGCCGTCCTCCGCAGCACTGCCCTTCCTTTCCAGACTCCTGTGCTCCAATTAACTCACCCCACTCCCACTCTATATACTCCCACTCTAAAAAATAGCAGAACGATCTCCTTCGAAAAGTGAAGCTAACACGCTGATTGCCACCCATCCGTGGTGATCACTGTGCTTGTAGACTGTATCCCTGCTCCTCTAACCTTTGCCTGGCTTGTACGTTCAAGTCCCCCTCCTGCAATGAGTTCTACCTGCATGGAGTGCACTGCAGGACTGAGGCTTTGTCCAGGAGGAGAGCACAAGGAGGCGGCATAGCGCCCTGAACCCGAAGCGTGGCCATACATAGAGCCCCCGAAGCGGCGGCCGTGATTTTTAATCTGAAAATGTTTTTGGTTGTAGCTTTTTAAAATATCAATACAAAATGCAAATCAAAGATGGGTAATAAAAGCTAGGCTGTGTAGACTGCCTAATTTGCACAAAATGACGCACAAGTACATTACGTCAATAGTTACTGCCTAGTTAAATAAGAGAGGGGTTTTGTGGGAGTCCTTGAACAATGGTCAGGGGATCTTCTTCTGGAAAAGTTTGAGAACCACAGATGTATAGGATTCAGAGTAGCAGCCGTGTTAGTCTGTATCCGCAAAAAGAACAGGAGTACTTGTGGCACCTTAGAGACTAACACATTTATTTGAGCATAAGCTTTCGTGGGCTACAGCCCACTTCATCGGATGCATGTAGTAGAAAATACAGTAGGAAGATATATATATACACAGAGAACATGAATGGGTGTTACCATACACACTATAAGGAAAGTGATCAGTTAAGGTGAGCTTTTATTAGCAAGAGAGAAAAAGAACTGTTTGTAGTGGTAATGAAAATGGCCCATTTCCGGCAATTGACAAGGAGATGTGAGGAACTGTGTGTGTGTGTAGGGGGGGAAATAAGCATGGGGAAATAGTTTTACTTTGTGTAATGGCCCATCCACTCCCAGTCTTTATTCAAGCCTAATTTAATGGTGTCCAATTTGCAAATTAATTCCAATTCAGCAGTCTCTCATTGGAGTCTGTTTTTGAAGTTTTTTTGTTGTAATATTGCGACTTTTAGGTCTGTAATCGAGTGGCCAGGGAGATTGAAGTGTTCTCCAACTGGTTTTTGAATGTTATAATTCTTGACGTCTGATTTGTGTCCATTTATTCTTTTACGTAGAGACTGTCCGGTTTGGCCAATGTACATGGCAGATGTATAGGATTCCACATACTACCCAATGAATATTACCATGTTTTAATGCACTTCAAGTTTAAAATTCACAAGGGTGTGATCAATGGGCATTGAATTGGGTGAGTCTTATCAATGCTTGAGAATAGTTTTAGTCTGTTTCTCTATCTATCACAAATATTTCAAAAGTGATGGTATCTAAGCACCAAACTGTCGTTAAAATGAGCACAACCATGTTCAAAGAGGGCTCTCCTCTGTTTCTCTGCATTACAGTTTTCCCCCTTCTTTTCTTCCTTTTTTTTCTATTTTCCTTTTTTCATTCTCACTTTTCAAAACTTCACCAACTTTGGAAAAGTCAACAGGCAGCAAAAAGGAAAACGGAACTCTGTCACCTGGTGACCCTTCTAATGCTGGAGATGTTTTGGAAAGTTATAGAGACGAAAAAGGAAAAAAATACTCTACATGTCATCCGTTCTACCACATCAGGTTGTAAAAAAAAAAAACGAATCAAAATAAAAAGATCAATTTGAAATTAAATGAATTTTTTCCTGGAAAACAAAAATCAAATGAAAAATGTTGAGGGAAACAGTAAGTTTTATGACCACATCTATTACCTAACCACAGTTCTGACAAGGGACTTTGACTCAGCTACTATATCTCACTGTTATCTTCACATCTCTTTGGCAAGGATCAATTAACCAACAGCTGGAAAGGTTCCCCTTGTTTGGGTGTTGATGGTGGATTTGATGGGTTGCAAAGGGCTGGACTCAATGACCGAAGAGGTCCCTACCAGTCTAAGCTAACAAGCTCTCTCCTCTGGGGAAGCAGAAGCCACACTGTTGCCAAACACTGAAGCTTTGCACGTCAGGGTTCGTTTACCTATGCCGATGACACAGACATCCGCACGGAGGACTTTCCCACTCTTCAGGACAACTTCCTTAAGCTTTAGGGGACACAGATGAAAATCGTGGTTACTTTAAGGACAGAAACGAATCTAGCAGTACCCAGCTGAGTTGGAATCTCACTCTAGTTCATGAGATAAGGGGAAATGACTCAATTGTAATTCTGCTTCAATGAAGAGATCATCCTGCAGGATTCTCACTCTTGGGTCTTGGCTCCCTAATGTAAACCCTGTAGCTGCAGGTTTCTTGGTCCCTAATGACAGCGGTAATGCATGATATATGTCGCACCAATCTCCCCTTTAGCTGGTGCTCACCAACCATCCTAGATCCTAATTGCTGTCCAAACCCCTATCATTGAAATCTCTCCACAGTAAAATCCAGCCACAAAAATACAGTGGGCTGAGATATGTGTTGCCCTCAGAGATGTGTTGGTGGGCATGGTGAGAGAATGTGAATTTAATAGAACAGAAACGAGAAGAAGCAATGAACCAGCAATGAAACGAACCCACCTCTGACAGACAGACCTCCGGACTCCTCCGGACATGCACACAAAGGGGGCCAAATTAGGACTGCACGGGTGACTTGAATTCTGGCATTGCTAATTTCTCTGTGCTTGACTTTTCTCATGCAGTATTTCATTAATGGATGGGCTGGGCACCCTGACTGCACAACGGGCATGTGGGCCCTCGGAATGATGTCACAGGATAAGCCCTGTCCCAGCAGTGCACAGTGTGGAATCACCAAAAACAGGAGAATCCCTCAGCCCATAATTACTAGAGGCTGGTAGTGACCCCTATATTTAATTTGAACCCAGTTCACTCCGCAGACTGTGCTGGGAGGAGGTGGGGATGGGGGGCATGGCCTGGCCTGGCCTCCTCCCCAGCTCTCTCTATCCACTTTGGAGTTATAGGTGCCCCTAGGGCTGCAGGTTGGGAACGGTTCCTGCACTCCTTTGAGCTCCTCACACTCTCCCTGCCCTTCCACACACTCATGCACAGGTCAGGCACAGTCTGGCCCTCAGCCCCGCAACGCTCAGCTCCTGTGGAGCACCAGCCGCTGTACCTTGCCCTCCTGCTCCCGCAGCTCAGACACTTCAGTCTGCATGTAGAACTTCACCCTGTTGTTTTCAAACATCTGTGCAACGAGAGAGAGAGAGAGAGTCCTTACGCTCTGGAGCTGCCACCAGTTTCTGGCTTCTCTGACTTTTCCTCCACAATCCCATTCCCGCCCTCTTGAGCTATAGCTCTCAACTCGGCTTGAGGGTGCACTGGAAACGGGCTCTCTGAGCATCTCTGCATCTCGTCTGCTCAGTGGGGTGTCATAATTTTGCAGTGTAGGAACACAAAATACTTGAGCATATTGCAATTAGGCCAATGGGGAGGATATGGCCAATGTTTTCTTTTAGGTGTCAACCACCGTGCAGCACTTTATAGCTTCAGAACACTGCATGCACATTTAATACATCAAATAAACTGAACACAATGATACCATTAACTGATAGTGCCAGCAGGGAGGTAAGACGTACACAGCTGTCCTCCGCACAGCAGGAATCAGGGTCACTGACCCCCTTGCTTGATCCAAAATAATCCTCTAAGAGACTGGTAAGTCATAATCACCTTCATGAGAGCTTGGCCAACCTTCTCCCCAAAGAACTTCTTGAAAGGCACTTCTTCCAGCTCAACCACAGACACGGAATGGGCCTTCTCTGTCAGGTAGGCTGCCACCTCCATCCCTGGGGAACAGAAGCAGGTCAGAGACAGCGCAAGCCACTCCCTGCACTTCAGTGAGGTCTCTGGAGCTGAATTCAAGAGTTGTCAGGTGGTGGCTAGAGATGTGAGAACTTTCAATTCGCCCTTTCAGGGCTGGGAACAGCTGCCATGGCATGAGCGGCAGTCTTTGGGCTCAGCACAAGGATGCACTGCAGATGGTATGAAGAATGTTTTCCTAGCAAACCGCTCTCTCAGTCTATTGTAAGCGCTAGGGGACAGGGACCATCTTTTTGTTATACGTGTGTAACGTCACCCCTTCCCTCCTAGCACTGTCAGGGTCTGATCCATACTGGGGTCTCTGGTATGACTGCAATTTGAGGACTACTGCTGGTATGCATAATGATAATTGTGGCTCAGCATGACCAGGGTTGCCTCAAGCAGCCTGATTCCCCGCGATGGGAACTGGAATTGCTATTTTGGGATATTAAGAGTATTCATAGGGTGGGCAGAAACCTTCTGCTCTCCAAAGGGCTTCATAGTGATCGTTTCTGTGTTTAACCACAAGACCAATTATTTATTTGTGAAATGCTTACAAGGAGGAAGACACAAAAAGGCTTTGAAGACTGAAGTAAGTGATGCACCGTAATATACTTAGTAAATGGTCATTGAAAAGCATCGCTGTTTGCAGTGGTGTTGTAGCCATGTTGGTCCCAGGATATGAGAGAGACAAGGTGGGTGAGGTAACGTCTTTTATTGGATCAACTTCTGTGGCTGAAACAGATAAGCTTTCGAACTCCACAAGCCTGAAGAAGAGCTCTGTGGAGCTCGAAAGCTCGTCTCTCTCACCTACAGAAGTTGGTCCAATAAAAATATTACCACACCCACCTAGTCTCTCTCATTTAAAACCATAACATTATGAATAGAAGAACTAGGAGGAACATACATTCTGTGGCTGGGATCATAGTCAAGCTTACTGAATTATACATTGCAAGTATGATTCATTGTGAATTTAGCTTTTTTTTCTAATCATGAACCAATCCCGATGTCTGGGAATGTGGAAGCATTGTTCAAATAGCCTGGCCAAGAGATTTTCAACCTATCGGTTGTCTGTGAATTGTTCACTTTGACTATTTGCAGTTTGTGACTGGTCGCCATGGTTGCGTGTTATAGTTTCTGCTTCCTGACTGGATAGATTACATCTTGAAACCAGGAAACTGACCCAAACAATAAGTATCCAATATGTGCATGCAGTCCATAGACTGGTCAGCCTAATTGTTCAGTCTTCTAGACGATTAGTTAAATTAATTTACCAGTTGGGGTCGGGAGGGCTGTGTCCTAGAAAGCAGTGACTCAGAGGACTTAGAGGTCATGGTGGAGAGCAGCTGAATATGAGCTCCCAGTGCACTTCAGTGGCTATAAAAGGGCTAACACAACCTTTGGATGTACAAAGAGAGGAATATTGAGTAGGGAGGTGTTATTGCCTCTATATGCAGCATTAGCAAGACCATTGCTGGATACTGTGTCCAGTTCTGGTATCCATACTTCAAAAAGGATGTTGAAAAATTGGAAGGGGTCAGAAAAGAGCTACAAGAACCCATCAGAGGTTTGGAAAACCTGCCTTATAGGTTATAGATATAGATATCAAAGAAGATGTTAAAAATTTGCAGCTTAGTTTATTTCCCATTTGAATTTGTCTACCTTCATATTCCAGCCTTGGATCTTGGTATGCCTTTATCTGCTAGATTACAAAATTCTTCTCTCCATGTAGGTACTTCTAGACTGTGATGAACTCACCTCTTAACCTGCTCTTGGACAAGGATGGGATGGGATTTTCAGCAATGCCACCATTAGTTAGGAGCACAAGTCACTGCAAATCTCAGCTTGAGCTCCTTTAGTCTCTTGCAGTAAGGCACATTTTCCAGCCAGTTAATCCCTCTCATAGTACTTCTCTGAACTCTTTCCAGTTATTAACATTCCTTTTAAATGGACATGGTATTTCAGGGCTGGTCTCACTGGCGCTTTATGTAGGGTTACCATATTTTGAGTGTCCAAAAAGAGGACACTCCACGGGGCCCTGCCCCCAGCCCCGCCCACGCCCCCGCCCCAACTCCGCCCCCTCCCCCAAAGTCCCCGCCCCAACTCTGCCCCCTCCCCTGCTTCCCGCGAACATTTGATTCACGGGAAGCAGGAAGCAGGCAGCAGGTAAGCTGTGGGGGGAGGAGAAGGAGGCGCGGCCCAGTCTGGCCCCCTCCGGCGGGCGGCCCCGCCTGGCTCGGCTCGGGCCCTGGGGTGCCGGCCCCGGGCCAGCCCCCGGCCGAGCACCCCCGGGCCAGC